CACAAAGAGGTAAGAGAAATATTTGCATCCTCATCTTATGCAAATGAAATATACAATACTATGATCAGATGTTAGTCCGTTCATGTTTTAACACCTGTGGTGTTCATTGTAATGTTTTGGGGGATACAAAACAGGTGACCGTGTGCACGGAGTACAGGAGGTGCGCTGGTGTTACGGCCCTGTGTTCCACAGCAGGGCCTTGTATGTGTGTATGTGCATTTTTTTGTTAAGGTTGCTTGTGTGTGTGTGTGCATCTCCCTTCTCTCAAATTGACAGGAGTTACCAGCCCCCGCCCCCCCCCTGATTGGCTGAGGACCTCAGGATCGTTAGTGGCTGCACCTGGTTGGAGCTCAAAAGGCCACAGTCTTCAGGCCCCAGGGGGGCCACATGGGTGATACTGTATGGTCAGACATTTGTTTTGCATTTGGGGTGGATTAACTGTTCTGTCGGTGTTTTAGTTTTTGATATCTGTTTTCATTATTATTACATCCGTTTTGTTTGCTAACAACCGTGTTCTTCTTTTCCCTTTTTGTCCCAGGGGGAAGGGAGCCGTTGTGGCTAGACTAGAGGCCCATGGGCATACATCACTCGCAGTGAGTCTCTGTCTAGGAACACTAGCTAGACCTGGGCAGACCACCACCTGTATTTTTGGTTAGCGTGCCAAAGCTACGGCACTATATATAGGAACTAGCCTGTGTATTTTTGTTTGTTTCATTGCTTTGGTTCTGCCCAGCCCTTCTCCCTGCAATCCGTGTGATTAGAATAAATAAAGTAATCTATACACGGTAAAACTCTTGTGTCCTACTTGCACCACGACCCCCACATGCCCCTTGTAGTGATGCACTTGGGTCTTGAGCAGCGGCGTGTCAACGGTCCCCTCCCTTCTAGGGAGCTGGTGCGTAACAGCTGGGAAGTGTACTTGAGAAAGACACCCAACCCCTAACTGCTCCCACCGTGTGGGATGGGTTATACATGTAAACCATACCTTAAAAATGTAAACCATCTAATGCAATGCAAATGCGTCAACTTTAATGACATCTAATGTAAATGCAAGTCGCTTTGGATAAAAGTGTCAGCTTGAATGACCTGTGAATAAACTTTCTTCAACCACATCATACAAGGTTTCTTCTTGGAATGGATTTCCATTTGATTGAATGGCTTTCTTTTAGCACGAAGAAGTTAAGTTCGGCCTACTCAATTCTATTGAGTTAAGTTAATGTGAATTAATAGGTTAAATGTATTTAATTTGAACTCGATTAAATAAAGTTCAATTAAGTTCAACTAACTTAACTAAATCTAGTTGAAAGTGATTAAACCATTCATATCAATTCAACTCTACAAAACCATTAACCCAACACAATAACATAGTGTTAGAGTAACGTAATTGTTTAGCATAGAGAGAAACCAATTTCATTTTGTGGAAATCATTTCCATGATTTTTTTAAGCAAAGCCAACGAGTAATTCTTTCGAGTGAACGACTGCTCAAAATGTTTCACTCGTCATGTCTTTCTAGAGTGAATGCGTTCTCTACTCACAGAGACATCACTTCACTTCAGATTTATGTTGCAAACAGTTGTTTTGCAGCTTTTTTGTTAAATATTGTAAGTATAACATGCAGCTCATTGTCGGTGATAGTGACGGGGGTTGAACGCTTTAGAGGTGTTGTGTTTATTCTTATCAATCGCCCTGATGTCAGAGCAGCTGACAGTATGGATCTCCAAAGACGCTCCCCTCGGCCCGGGGATGATTTATGGTCGTCTTTAAGTTCCACGGCGAGGTTCATCGATGGCATAAATGCTGATCTGGTGCTTACTCTGCTGTCCAGAGGTGCGGTGGACTCAAGTTTTTGAAATGTGTGTGCTAAGTTTGGTAATGTTTTAGCATTTTGAGAGCCTTAAAGGAGACATTAGCTACCTGTTACCAGTAGGCGGCGCTATGACTGTGATTGAGATGTATTCAGGCTCATCAAACATGTGACGTTTAGAAAAGATCGGACCATGTGGATTCGAGTTACATCATTTTATTCGTTCGTGGAAGGATTGATAATCGCAGAGCCGCCACGTCAAGATTATAACAAGGTACCAATATTAAAACCATTGAATATGAAGATAATCGTAGTTAATCTCAGGGCACGTATGTTAAAGTACTTCACATTTAAACTGTCAAAAAAACGGCATTGAACACAAAATGGACCACCTGTTTAAGGCTCAGTATACTCTGATGGAGGGTTTCAAAATGCAAGCCTTTCGAAATCTCCTCAGCGAGCAAACTTCAAGTCACATGAATACGCCAATTTCCTTTCATGCATAATTACAAAATAGTTCCCCACAGGTAGAACAGACCACTTCAAGGAGGGAGAGAAATAAGACCCTTATTTCCACTGATGTCTGCACACGCACCTCTCTGTGCACAGCCGCCGTAGCGTTCGCACAGTAGCTCCGTCGTCCAATACCTCCAGGAATACAAGAGCATTTTTTACCACAAAAACGGTCAAAGTTCTTCAAACACCCGGCGATTCCGTTACCTGGATACTTGGGCCCAGGACATTAGTACAGCGCTACCTGATCACCACATCACACCTACAGAAAACACGAGGAGATGTAGGGAGACAAAAACGTAAGATAATATATATCAAAGAAAAAATATACAACGATACAAAAAGACATCCAAAACAAAAAAGAGAAATGCGTGTTTCAAAAGGCGATTTAAAAGAGAACACAGAGTCTCTCTCGAGTAAAAACATCACCAGTGAAAAACCTCTCCAATCATTTTCAATGGGGCTCTGTGTGTGTTGTGCAGGCATCAGCTGGGCCCCACAAAGTGTTGCTGACATGACCGATTGGACGGGGGGGAGAAGGGGGGGGGGGGCTGTCGAAATATCTGATATATCTAAGTGTTGTTCTTGCGAAAAGAGCACTGGTTGATAACACAACCAGACCCAGTTTGGGTTTCTGAGAGATGTTGAACTCGTTCCCTGTGGGAAATGAAAGGTGGGGACGAAGTGGAGCTGGGGGGCCGAAGAGCCGCCCGACGCCAAAAGTCCATCTGAGAGGAGTCTCTATCCAATTGATATGTTCAGGCCCCTTTTCTCAACATCTCATATTCATTCTTTACCCTTCCCTCAAACCAGAACGATTACTGAGAGGGGGGGCCGCTAATGGGCATTGTGATTGAAAATCCATTTAACAAGTTGGGCTACGGGATGAAAAGCCTTTGTGTGGAGGGAGGAACAATGAGGCCCGACAGTCTGTCTGGGGATGTGCAGGAGTGCCTTTTAGATCGCACGTGAAGCTCCGGGAGGATTGTTTATTAAGAGCAATGAAACCGCGTCTGAAAGGATATTCAGATGTTTGTCCATCGGGTATCCGGTTGGTTCCCACGTCACCCTTTCATATGTCATTTAAAATTAAAACGCATGCAGAGAACGGGGAGATGTCATCGAAATATGGACAAAAACACAGTCAACGCAAAAAGAGCAATGAGCTTCAAAGTCAAACATGGAAAACAAAAGGTCAAACAGAGCCGGACTATGTTTTAAACCGGGGCCTGCTGGACAGGTGCGGAATCACACGCGAACGGATCAGACAGCAGAGGTAAAGCTTCACGGATTCTCACGTTGGCGGATCAAATACAACGAGCGACGGTACACATTTAGGTTTTTAAATCCCTGACGTGGGAAGTTCTGAGGTGCTTCCAGCTGTGGCGCGGCGTCTGTTCCCATGACGACAGTCAGAAGGCTGTCCTCTGTAACCGCGTTACGCTCTCGCCAGGAAAGATTTTCACTTGCTAATTGAATCGACTGGATGTGCCTTCGTTTCTCCGTCTGTGTCTCAACATCTTCTCTCTTCATCTCGCTCTTTAATCAGGTTACCGTCTCTCCTCTTCTTAATCTGGAGTAAAAAGTAATTGATGTTTAGGGTTTTTATCCTGAAACCTGGCCAATTAAATACATTTAAAACAAATTGCATCCTGAAAAACAAACAATATTTTTTGTGAATGATTTAATTGCGATACATTAGAATGAAGGTAAATAAAGCTTGTGTGGATCAATCAGGACTACGTGTTCATCATTATTATTATTATTTATTATGGTCAGTCTGGGTGTAGGTGAATGTGTTTATGTAGATGTTTATTAGTGTGTGTGTTAGTTAGTGGGAACGTAGTCTGCTACGCTCCCTGAGCTCGGCTCTCGGACTCATTTCTTATTCATTTATTAACAGAGAAACCAAGAAAAACAGGAAGTTCAGTCAAATGCCGAGCTGCAGGAAACCTTATCTCCCCTAACTTGAATTGCTTCTTTCATTTGATTCAATCAATTATTGAAGAGTACGGGAGGACCCGTATAAACACAGTTTCCTTCCTCCTCTGGATGGAAACAATGGAAACAAACCCCTGAGGATTCTTCAGCATATTTTCTCCACCTGAAGGAAACCGTTATAGGAAACGGAATTACATTTTCATTGTAGTCGCATTCTGTAGGTCCTTTACATTTCTTCCACTCGACTGCTACAATGGATCCTTATGATAGCATTAGTTGTCACTGTGTACTGCTGAGCTTCCAGGAACAAACAGATCCGTGTGTCGTTTGCAGCCGTACACACACGCTAAACATTCACTCCTTTCGCAGGTAATGCTGCTTTTTACCGTTTAACTAAACAATTAATGTCAAGATAAAAAAGAAAAATCCATGTCAATACTATCGACATCAATCAAGTCCTCAGCATGTGACACGCTACTTCTCAGTAGGTCCACAGGGAGCAGATCAAAATAAAGAAGTCATAAAAATGGTTATTTGACATGTGATTTTTGATTAGTAAAAAAGGTGGTGCTGAGACGGTGTAAATGTCTCCACACAGGAGAGAGAGAGAGAGAGAGAGAGAGAGAGAGGATTAACCCGGGTTCCTCTGAGTGAAGAGAGCGATTTAACAAGGTTTTTATCTTCCCGCCGAAACCGAGTGGGTCTCTGCTACCGGAGACACAAAGACAGTCAACACCGGGATTATCACCATGTCTTTAATCTTTAATCAGCCTTCATCAGAACTGTCACATAGCAACAGAAAAAAGTCAAACACATTTCAACTCCCTGAAAGAGAAGCTTTTTAATGTTCTTTTCATACATGAAAATACCCATTTTGTTCCGTCAAAATAAATACTGAAGAGTTTTATAAAAGTTTTTTTTTTAATTTTTACTCCTTTTTGGACCATTTGCAGGAGTTTTTTTTCTTTATATACACATTCATGTTATAAGCTCCAAAACATAAATGAATAAATAAAAAAACGATGGAGGGCAGAGAAGGAATGACACGGACTTTAGCACTTATGACTAACCGTCCAAATCCTGAAAATAAGGGTCCAAACTAGTCCTGGATCCTGTGCATGCAGTTGGCGGTACTCCTTGAATGTTTTATGAAGTAGGATCTAAACAGCGGCTGCATCCCAAAAAGACGGGTGACATGTTGTACAAACATAACACGTCTTTCCCATTTTGCAAATAAAAGAGGCAAAGCGGCCGCAATGAGAACTTCAGGGTGCAAACTCACCTGCGTGGTCACATGAAGTTTACCATTTGAAAAAAGTTGCGCTTGTGCAAAAAAAAAATGAAAACCACAACATTGACAATTATTCCGGACAAACCCCTGATTACTGGATTCATTCGCAGGAACATTGAACCATCGACTACAGGAAAAGTTTCTCAAAAACAAAACCGGAGATGAATTGGAAAGAGGATATTTAGGAGGCAGAAGGCTTTTAAAAGGCTACAGATTCTGCTTAAGTAAAGAGGAAAAAGCATTTGTCTCCTTTGAATTGAAAGCAGCCCCCCCCCCCCTGTCCTAAAGGACCTTCAGTTGATCTGCATCAGTGGCTCTGGGCCACAACACACCACACTTCTTAGATGTCTCATAACTCGGGCAATAAGATCGATCTTCACTTTTTTTAATCTGGTGATATGTTTAAAATTTGTATTTTCTTGCCTCACTAAATTTGTGATAGTGGGCGAGCTTGATTTTTCAAATTATTAGACGGTTGGGTAGCCGCTCCCCCCCCCAGACACACACACACACACACACACCTCCACATGACAATGCACATACACACACCGCCTGGCATTCGTACACAGATGTCATGGAAACTGCGGCTGTGGAAGTGGGCGGCCATCGAACAGCAAAGTGGGGAAGAAGCCACAAAGTCTCCTTTTGTACTTCTGGAAAAACAACAAACAGACGTTTGTTTGAAAAGAAAATTGTGGGTTTAAAGAAGCTGAAAACATGAAGGTTTGCTTTAAAAAAAAGGCTGAATATGCAACCTCCAAGGACTGAACATCTCTGTGGAGTTTCATTTTGTTTGTATTCTGCAGAAAGACGTGATGCTCAGGAAGGACAGAGTGAAGGACGCAAGGAAACGACTCCATCGGTAAGCTTGATCAAAAGACTCGGAAGGTCGAGCAAATTAAATCCGGGGAACGGTTTTCAACGGTGAGTAATTTATGATCTTAAGATACTTGCAGATACAAATTGTAAGTAAGAGGGAAACGAGAAATGACCATCTCATACTTTTTAATCTACAGGTTTTCACTGTAAATATTTAGTATCTAAATATATCAGACTACCTTTACTAAATTGATAAACCATAAAAAAGTGCTTGTGCTTCATTTGTGGAGGTCACAGATCGAACGCCGTGAACAACAAAATTATTTTACGAGTCCATCACACAGCAGGACGAAGCTTTCCACTTTCTTTCTGTTCTTTGTTGCTTTTGCCTGTTGACATTCCAGCATGTGGAAGGAACGATGCATTTTCAATTAGCAGTCGAATTGACTTCCCAATGTTCGATGAATTACAGCGTGTGAAGAAACAGGCTCCATGTCTTCACCATCTTTCTCCGACTCTTTAGGAAACAAGCTCTGGATCTCAGAGGGGGGGGGGGGGGGGGGATCGGCAACTAAACCGAAAATCGCTGGCGATGTCGGGTTATTACGTTTATTGGGAAAACGACGCCGCCTGAAGCCTGCAGGAGGTGAACGACCCTCCGGGGGCAGAATGCGTGTCCCTCAAACCGCCTGTGAAGAAGACTGCAGCGTCTCTCTGTCTCGTGTGTGTCTGGAGTACTTGAAGCCTCAGACTAGATATTTTCGGAGAGATGTGACTTGCTCAACCGGGTCAACGGGCTCTTCTCTGCAGGGGTTTGTAATTAGCTCGTCCGCCCAACGTTTCCAGTCGAGAGCTTTTTGGGCTCGTCTGTCGGTGCCAGTGGATCAGTGATCAGTGCTCAACAGTGTTTGTGTCTGATTAACTGATCTGAGAGTTTGTTCCTATCGAGCTCCTGTAGGAGGGCTCCCCTCCGTTGCTGCGCCTGCTGTCACTGTTTGTAGTTCGTAGCTGCCGTCTGTGTGATGACTGTGTGTGGGAACCAGCTCTGCTTTAGAGCCGGGATCGTTTGAGGAACCTGCAGGAGGACGCCAGAACCAATTAATGCAGACAGAAGACCACAAAGGGACTGGCTTATGATAAAATGACCAAACATTTTCCAGCATGTTGTCTGTTCCATCGGTGGATAAGGAGAATTTCAACAAATGCAAACAAGGGTTTCTAAAAAAAAAAAAAAAGAGCTTCCTTAGCTTTGTTTCTGGAGTTTGTAATCTTAAATTGACAGTATTCTGAGATGCGTAGTTGTCACTGAATAGAATACATTTGCGCATTTGTGCGTAAAAACCCTAAAAAGTTTTAAACATCAGTTTAAAAATGCTTTTGTTTAACTGATCTCTTAGGCTCTACCGATTGGAGAGACGCCATAAGCAGACAGAAGTGTGTGATCACATCCAGCACGTGAAGTTGTGTTTGTGCACCTTTTGTGTCCTCCTGCTGTTTTGCGTTTAATGGAGCTCGACCATCAGACAAATGCAACTGAGTTTCATAAGAAAATAGAAGAAAGGACACGGATGGGGGGGGGCAAAGCTCGGGATGATGGGAAAAGGGCGTCTTCGTACATGCAAACGTCACATGATGACACACGCAGACACACACTCAACCTGCTCACACAAAGAACTTTAACATGTGATCACACAGGCTCGTCAGCAGCGCGCCTCACTGTCCTCACAGCGTGAATCCCTCAGCAGCGGCTTGCAGGAGTCGGGATTCTCTAACTTTTTCCCTCACGGAGCCTCGAGGAGCCCGGAGTGCGAAATAGCTGCCTCGATAATAATGCACTTTGACAGTTTGGGTTAAGGGATTTAACGCAGCCTTGCAAACACACTTTCCCTTTCAGCTTAGCGAGGATTTATTAAAGCTGCAAAAATAACTTCGACCTGGGAGACGTAAAGGTTCTTTGATTCGGTGACAAGTCTAAAGAAAGAAAAAAGTGCGACATTCAGCAAAATCCATATGCTTCTAACCGCTTCCCCCGAAAGTTTTTCCCCCACTTTGTTCTGACTTTGTACCGGGAAACAACAGGGAGCGTGACATAAGAACCACCGACAGCTCCGCATGTCACGCCATATCAAACAGCTTTGGCAACGTCAATCCCGCCATTCAATAATCACGTCTCGTGCGGCCTGCGGGTCTGTGCGGGGCGGCAGGCGGGCGCCATCGGAAAGACAGAGAAGTGGTTTGGTTCCAGTCCCCTGGGCTCCTCCCCCTCCCTCCCACCTCTGGGGACCACAGGTTTGGACTGAATTTTGAAAAAGTCACATTCCACGCCTGGATCCCCCCGCCCACCTCCACCCTCCAAGTCCCACAGGGGGTCTGTTGTTTTTGGGGGATCCGCTGCGTCGGGGGGCGTGTGGTTTGGGATGAGCGGGCGGGCGACGCCGGGAGAGCCGAGGTGATCGGAGATGTTGACCGAGGTCACAAGCAGGACTCGTGGGACTCTCCGACGGCGGGCAGAGACTTCTTCTTCTGCTCCGAGTGGTTCCCGTTCTGAAGGACAGAATACCTGAGAACAAAAAAATAGAATTTAGAAAATGGAGATTAAAGATTTAAGAGTAGAAAAGACAATAACAGGAGAGATGTCAGTATGTGCACTAATTTATTAGAATAGATTAAAAAATGGAAAAATAAAAATAAAAACTATTAATGCCAAAGTTGTTGACTTTCTTCTTAAACTGAAATAAGCTTTTCTTATTACAAATAAACAATTAGATTACCTATTGGATTATCTAATGAATGAATTGTGACAAAGAGGAAAACGTGGCCTTCAGTTAGATGTTGAAGCGAAAACGTTCATGATTCATATCTACTTTGTTTGTGCGAAGCGATTCTAATATGACAGAAAGCTCAACGGAGCAACGTGACACAGAGATGTTTATCCAACATGTTGGTCTGTGTGTGGTGGATACTGCATGTGCACTGAATGATCAGCCACATCATGTGCAGACATGTCTGTGTTTATGAACACGCGTGTGCGTGCGCGCCCCACAGAGGCCTCACCGCCGGCTAAAACCATTACGAGCTGTTTACACAAACACCCCGACCGAACACACTTCCTGCTGCCAAACTGCCCGTGAAATCCACCTTCCAGACGGCCTCCGACATTTAGGGATTCTCAGAAGGAAACGGGCCACAGCGGAAACACCAAATTGCTGCCACATTGCGGCGCTGAACCCTCGGCCGCGGCGCGTGACGTGGAGGCCGCTCAGGCTTGTCGGTGGCAGGCGTGTAAAATTATAAATACATATTACAAATAGTCAATATGTGTCTATTTGTGTTTTTGAAACGTGGAATATACCCAGTATTATTTGTAAATTAAGATTTCTGTGCAAAATATTGGCTTTTTCCTACACGTTCTTCTAAAGTTAATGATTGATTGCCGCCCTACGCTGCGCTCTCAGTCAGGGCGAATCAGTGACGCGCCGTTTAACAACAAAATGACAAGAGCGACGACGGGCAGCGTCCTTCCAAGAAGACGCGAGCCCAATGCGCTACGAGAGAAGAACTTCAGCTGGACGTGGATCAGCCTGACCTCGCAGTCACACAACGAACGCGAAAGGGAAGCCGACGCTTCCGTGGAGATGCTACACAGCGATGTTTAGCTAGCTAGTTAGCTACGCGCTAACGGCGTATATGGGCTTGATTGTGTTTGGAAGTGGAGGCAGCAATAAACTCCGTTAGCATCGCTACTCAGCTGCAACGTTTCCTCCGTACTCAAAGTATTATTAAGAACATGAGATGATGATGAAAGTATAATAAACCAGAAGTTTAAAACTCTATTTCTCCTCCATGTTAAAAACTGAACGAGAAGATGAAACCTCAACGTGTACAGAAACATCCAAAATAAAGCCAGCCTGTCGGGTGATTTTCATACTTTGCTGAAATGAGGTTTTTCTGCAGGACATGTGGCCTCATCCACTCGGTGTTTACTCGTGGTCCTGTTTGTACACAGCTGAGCCAACAGGGCAACTGGCAGAGCCGGAGACAGGACGGAGATCTGTTTAATGAGGCCAGCGGGGAGGGAGGCACAGACGGCCCGGATCGCCAGCAGACTAAACATTCATGCATATTCCGGCCAGCAATATGGCAAACACATCATCTGTGTGAAGTCCCCTCGAGCGAGGCGGCGACCCTGACGTCCGAGGGAAGCGTGGGAAATGGGCGCCTGATGAAGGTCAATACGGTGTAAACTGCTCCAAAATAACAGAGCGTGAATGTAGTTGGCAAAGTACAAACACCAAAGCTGAATAATAACATTTCGCATTTGCTTGTTTTTTCGCCGTCTTCGGTTTCGTTTTCCTGGAAACTGGATGCAGGATTCCTTACGAATTCAGCTTTAAAACACGTGAATTGGACCCGAACAGAAACGCACCAAAACCACCCGGTTAGGATGAAGCTCAACACACGAGAAGGTTGCCCTAGTTTCTGTGGAATTAATGAGGCATAAATGAATAAAGTTAGTGATTTCATCATTAGCGTTAGCGGTCTCAGGCTTCAGTGTTTGACCTCCCAGCGCTCAGCATGAGGACTTCCCAGTTCTCTGACTGGATTACCAGGATTAACCGGAGAACTGACCTCCTCAGAAGAACTGATACCGGGAAGAGCTCGGCCTCGCTGAATGATGATGGTTTGTAAAAAGTCAGTTAAAAAGCAACACAATTCCCTCGCAGGAGATTTACGAAAGGGTTCATTTACAGTTGAATACTTTAATAAGCTTGCAAACAATACAACTTTTGTCCCGGAACAACAACCGGAATGTGAAATATTTGTCACCCATCCTCTCCAGAAGAGTCCCGGTCCCTCACCCTCTCTTCCGTCCCTCTCATCACACACTCGGCCTCCCCCTCCCTCTCCACTCCTTCTGATGGTCCCACTCAGTCGCTCCGTCTGAAGTTCTATAATTGATCATCACGATCAGGAGGCCATTTCCCTCCTCTTCCCTTCTTTTCTTGAGCTCCGTGTTCGGCTCGGTTTTTGAAACCCGGTCACCAATCTGCCACAACAAGCGAGCCACTCGAGGCAAACACTCGCTGTGATGCTGATGTGAGGGGGAGGTCGGGACAGGAAGTGGAGGAAGAAGACTTTGAATAGGAAAAGAGATTTCACGGCAACACAGAAAGTTTGGTTCCAGCTCAACAACGAGGCGGGAGGAGCACGACCTTCCAGGACTAAAAAGTTTGCAGTTTGTTTCCAACCTCCAGCTCCAACCCAAAAGTGCAAAAGTAAGCGAAAGCATCCCGAAACAAATTAGGTGTGTGTCATCGCCTCAATTACAGTGAGAGGGAGTTCCTGCCGGTGGGTAATTTGGGGCGAGGACGGGCGAGCGGGCCCGACAGAGGAGAGGCAGAGATCATTCAGGACGACGAGGGAGATTTAATGTTTGCGATCTTGTGGCCCCCGCGAGTTCTTGGCCGTGTTCCGAGTCACGACGTCCTTCTGCACGAAGCCCCTCCAGAATAAGATACAAATTAAAACTCTCAAAAGATGTCCAAGCATCAACGTTAAGGCAGTGGGGGAGAGCTGCGGCGAAGAGGATTATTTCAGGCACATGAAACGATGAATGACGGCGGCGGCGCCACCTTCCCTCCGTGAGGACCCAACGACCAGCCTCCCCCAATGAGCCGCGTGGGGTTAGAGCTCCTCCCTCGCTGCAGACAAACAGCCTCCTTCCCTTTTCCGCCACAGCGAATCTCAAGCTTAGTTTTCAGAGAGGGGGGGGCGGTTAAGAGTGTCCGTCACAACCCTGCAGCGAGGCCTCTTGCCGCTTCGCACCGGGCCGCCTCCCCCAAAGACGAAGGCTTCCATTCAGCCGCCTACTGGGGGGTATTTTCCTTCATTTTCTTCCTCCCCGATAAGAGTTTTTTGGACCCAATCGGAGCAGTTCTGACAGCGCAAACAACTTAATTCGAAACGGACCTGGCACTGACAGCACAGGCGCTGCACAGTCAACGTCATTTCGTTTTAAAACACAAGGACAGGTGTCACTCTGTTCAACATGTCCCACTTCTGTTTTCATCCACTAGATCAGAGGCCTATTAGCCCTTTTCATGTCAGGCAGCATGTCGCGGTCTTGGAGGTGGGGCCTTCGCCTCTCGGCAGCGGGTCAGCCCGCCTGAAGAGGGTTTTTTAATCTTTTCTGTTGGAAGTAGCCACTCAGATGGAGGCGGACGGAGCTCACAGCACTGAGAGCACTGAGCCTGAGCCCTGAGCATTAGAAGAGGCTTCGGCCTGGACACGGGCACTCAGGCGTGAGCGTGAAGGAGGCCGGCGGCCTCTGGGGAAGTCAACAGAAACACACACGCGTGTGCGTGATTGAGGGTTTGTGCGCGCGTGTGTGTGTGTGTACTTCAAGCAACACACCCTGCACTGCTGGCTCTCAGTGGATCAGAGGTTTGATTATTTCTGGATGACTGATGCCAGCGACACGCCATTCCACAGCAAATTGCTTACATGTCTGGAATAAGGAGATATTGCTACTGTGTGTGTGTGTGTGTGTGTGTGTGACAGCAAGTGCACATCGTGTCATGTTGCGTATTCTAAGAACTCAAGTAGGTTTCTGTGTCAGACTATGAAAGTAGTGAGTCCATTAAGCTTCTCAGGTAAATAAACAGATGTTTTATTGATACTAGACATACTTAGAACATAGAGCCCCATCAGACACAAGTACCGAGTCTAATGGTCCACTTACTTTATTTAGCAATCACATAAACTGTAGCCGATCTAACAAAGAGGATTATGTCAAACCAAAAGGTGCGAAAAAGGTTTTAACCCCAAAATAGTGAAAAAATAATAGAATAAATAAAAATCTTCAAAATTCTAAACCCAGAATTGAAATGAACTAAATTTGAATTCAAACATCAGTCAAGTTAGAAACCATTGTTTGTCGTCTCTATTTGTGGTGCCACGTCAGTCGGACAAATGAGATCCTCCGACATCGAGTAAAGATGTTTTTTTTTGTTTTTCACATCGACTCTCTGCCTGCAACACTGCGCGCGAGAAGACTGCACAGAGCTTCGCACAGAACAGCAATCGTCAGCCCAAAGAACTAACGGGGTCAAGGGTCAAGCAAATCAATGAGCTGCTGTTTGTGCACAAAGCCAAGATAATTTGTGTCTGCAGTTGCCATTAATGTGCTGTTAATTTTAAAGTGGTGGAAAGTAATATTATAATGTATAGTATTTAGCGAAACATATTTTGTACTTTTATATTTGAAGAATGCGATATTGTACATTTTACTCCACAAGGTACTTTCTTGTTATTTTTCTTTAATGTTGAAGTTTCAAACACACCCTCTTACAGTTACTGTAGTATTATTAAGCATCTGACTCACCTGCTCCTCAAGCACACAGAAGATACACAAGAGCAGACAAAACTTGGGCCCGATTCTAAAAACATGGCTCCTCAGCACCAACAGTCAGAACCTTCACAAGCTGCCTTCAAAAGTACTCAACTCAATCCACAATTAGCAGCACATCTCAACATAGCGACGGCTAACAGCGCTAACAG